AGATCTGAACCCATCAATTCTAAACTGAGCACTTGCTGGTTCAGTCTCAGTAGAAGATATTTGGGACTTGATGTTCCCTATGTCCTCCAACCCGTTCTCCATTGTGAAGATGATCCCCATCCTGAATCATACACTGAGCGGCCACTTATTCACATGAAGAAGTGGTCAAGGGGCTGTACACCTGGCCAGATGCTACAGTGAAAAACTTATAGCCATTATTAAAGAAAAATAGACCCATGTTTTTTTTTTTACATTTTTGCATTGTACTGCCATAGTACAAACTATGGTGGTGGCACTACAAGGGTTATTTATGCCAATGACTTAATTGGTCACAAACAAGGAATTTTTAAATCAAATTTTTAGGTTCTCTATGTAGTTCAGAACTATCTCTAAAGAATGCTGTGGCTGCAAATGTCACTGGCCACTTGCCAGGAGAACATTTATGTAAAGATGGCAGCTGGGAAAGTGTTAATTAACATTCTGGAAAAGCGTTAATGAACATTCTCTACTCCTTTAGTAAAGCAATGTTTTTGAAGATGTGAGGTACTGAAGGGCTGCTCATTTGTAAAATAGTCTGTAACATTTGCTAGCTTGTAACATTTTAAAAAAATGAGGCAAAATCATGAATTTGCTGTAATTATTTCATTTAACAGTTCCTAATTTTTATATAATAGTCAGCACTGTAATCAGTGGAGTTCTATAAACTTGAGATTTTTCCTGCAGACTAGCAATGCATAATTATTAAGAGCACACAGCTTGCGTGGCATGATTGAAGATGACTGAAATCAGTTGGGCTGAGTAATATAAAGCAGCAGCTGGTGGAAAAACTAGATGTTTTATTGACAACAGAACATGCTTTCTGTAGTATGGTGAAACAATATGTTGTGCAACCCTCAACTTATTTGTTCACTGAGCCAAAGAAAACCCGTAATCCTTATTTATTGTCATAAAAGCTACAACCAAAATTAGTGGATTTATGTTGCGTAAATCACTGAACAATTAAACTCTGAGAGTATTTGGCTGCTGTCTCAAGAGCTGAAAACAAAACAAAAAAAACAGTCTTGTTAAGGGCCTCTGCATTTCCTTTCATTTCGTTTATTTTTGTTTCTTAAGACAGTTAGGCCTAAATCCCATTTTCTATGCCAAGGCAATTTTTAAACCTTTCTTTTTGTTAAAGCCTATTAAAAATATAAAGAAAATCTTAGAACTTTTTATGTGCCTTTTGTCATTAAAATCTCTGCCCGTAAGTATAAGAACCCAAAATATTTTATCTTGTAGTTGTTTAATGCTAATTCTGACTATAATAAAACTGAATGAATCTGAAAAAAATGTTAGCCAATTGAGACCCTGCATTTTGTTTGTGCCTTTGCAGTACATACAGTATGCAGTACATATGGTCATAAAATTATTTGAATATCCCTCTGGAAAGAATAAAATCTACTATGCACTTCAGGAAATAATAGTATGTGTGCATCTGAAATGGCATATACAGATTAGCAAAGATTAAAAATCTCAATATTTTCTTAACTCTTATTATACAAAAGTGAAATCATCTACAAATGAGTGAAGTAAAAAATCTGTATTCATTTGGGTAGATCCTAAAGCACATATGGAATGTAGCATGTCAACAGTACAGCTGTAAATATACAGTAATTTAATCCAGGCAATTCCCTATAGGTAAGGAATACAGATGTGAACCTGTTTATGTTCTGCATCTTTTACATCCCATATCAGCAATGTTCTCTGTGTTGGATGCTTGACATATTTCTCACATTATGAAAACCTGAATGAAGTAACAAAAGAGTAACTTAACTAACTTGCTCTCCTTTGTTTAGTTTTTTGTTTAAATATACATATTTAAAGCAGACCTACTAGCATATATACTATAATGTCTATATTTATAATTTCTAACATTTTGCAATATACAGAAAAAGTATAGTAATAAAAAGCACTTTTTTTTTTAATTTCTGGTACTTAAAGTGGTTCTAAAGCCAAAACCTTATTTTACACTAATGCGTTCCCTGTATTAAGGTAAAAAATGTTTTTTACAGCTTTCTGTCCTCCCCCACCTCCCTAAATACTTACCTGAGTCTTCAATTGACCCAGTGATGTGTGCGGATACATCTCTTCTCTCTCCTTTTTTCCACTTCACATAGGGACTCAGGCAGCAGCATGAACCAATAGCTGCTTTAGTAACAGTTTCAAATCTAGCTAAGTGGAAGAATCTGGGAAAATCAAGTCATTGATTTAATCAGTCAGAAGGAAGCATTTCTCAATCTCCACCATTGGTCAACCAGACAATACACTGTAGTTTTGTCTAGAAAAGAATGTGTTAAGCAGCAGCAGATGGGTTTAATTATGTGAAACGTGCACAAAGTCTAGAAAATATTTTTTTCTGTATAGGCACCAGGATTTACATGAGTGTGTCAACAATCGGCCAACATCTCTGTCTAGGAAGCAGCTACAGATCCTAACTACTACTTAAACAAAGATGGTTAAACAAAAGGGAAAAAGCTAACTTTCATTGCCAGGAGTACTAATATGATTTTTTTAAAGGTAATAAATACCTGTAATAAATTTTGGATTATTAAATATGACAAAAATAGTCTTCTACCAACTCTGCTTTCTGGACATAGCCCATCCAAAACTGATGCTTTGATTCTGTAAATTTTTACAGTTCTATTATCAAGCTTTCTTTCTAACTCCTCCACATATTTATATAGAGAGTCTAAGGAAAATGTGTTTATGTATACAGATCTCCAAGGCTCAAGAGGTTTGCATATTGTAGCTCTTTCTTTCATGCATGTTACCACGTACCTGCTAAAGACTGAGTAGACGAGGGTGCTTCTTTTGCACCTCTAGCCCAACACTCCTGAAGGTGGTAACAGAGAGTGTAAGGGCACGGAATTGTATGAGTGCTGGGGTTACAAGGCTGTACTGGATCTGTGTTGAAGCCAGATGGAACTGAGGTTCACAAACCCAGAACCGAGAGCAGGAACGCTGTGGTACCAGAGCAGGTTACTGGAATCAGGTTGAGGCCCTTACCAAGGGCAAACATGGTCATAAAATCGGTTACTAGATCAGGAGACAGAGACAAAGATTGGGCACAAAACAAGGTCAGGAACAGCCTAGCAGAATAGTACCAATCTAGAGGCAAAGACAGAGTTCAGGAAACAGTTCAGGTCAATAACAGCCAGGCAGAAAAAAACAAGGCAGAAGACTGGTTTGAAGGTAAGTTGGGTCAAGAACAGTAAGGCAGAAGTAACATATCAGCTGTCAGGTAAACAGGTACAAGCTGAAGACTACTCAACATCTTCCTTTAGCAGTGTCTTAGTTTATATAGGGTTCCTCCATTGTAAAAAACTTGATAAAGGCTGTTTTAGATTATAAACTAACCTACAATAAACTCAGAAATATACAAAATGGAACTTAAATGCTGGTTGCTAAAATAAGCTTTGAAGGCCCCAAAAAACAGGCATTTTTAAGTCACTTCTTTTCAGAATGGTAGGTAATAGGTAATATATGATTTTGTCACATTACAGAATTAAATTTGCCCTGTTTGTTTAACATTATTAAAGGAAAAAGACAATCTTTTGTAATAATAAAGTATTTGCTTTTGGATGAAAACACATCAGGGCATTCAGTATGCATAGTAATTTAATCACAATTATAAAATTTAATTTCTGTTTGCAAGATATGTAAATGAGCTACACTTGATGATGAGAAGCCAAGTCACCATGCAAAGATTTTGATATTAATGCATAGTCATTACATTAACCATTATTCTCCCTGGAGAGACATATGTAATGAACTGCTTCTCTAGACACAATCATTATATATAACTAACTGCCCTAAATATGACTCTTGAAGAAAAAGGCACACATGTTATCTTGGATAATTTTGCTTACTCTAGATAGCTTAACCCAGAATCACTCCGGCCTTCTGTAATTAATAAAGATGTATGTTGTATAATTGTATAAAATATTTTAAAATTACAAATTTTCTATACACAAAAACACATGGAAGGTAGTGAACAGTTTAGTATTGTAATATGATGCAATGTGGCAGGGATTAAACAATAGATTACACAGTAGAAAACTGGTTACTTAAAGCATATCTAAACCCAAAAACAAAAATGTATAATGTTGAAGCTTATCTGTCCTTCAATGTGGTGGCTGCATTTCTTGTGGTGGCTTTATTTTCTTTTATTCTGCCTTATTTTCCTTTATTTTCACCTGTTCATCCTACCAGTAACAAACTTTCTGTCTTAGGGTGGCAATGTCCATTCACTCTACTGTGTATTGACAAAGGAGCAGCATTATCACCTTAGGCTGTTTTCATGATTTTGACTACAAACACACATTCTCTCTCCATTACATGGTGGCAGGGTGACTTGTAGATTACATAACATAGCTTGGAAAGAAAATAACAATATTTGAGATTTCACTTCAATTTACAGGAAGTTACAGCAATGCCACAATTCTAACAAGATTAATAGGATTTTTTGTACGTGCTGAGAATGTTCTTAGCTTGAAAGAAATGCAGCCACCACATTTAAGCATTAGCAAAATCCAATTTATCACAATTTTGTTCTTGAATTTAAATATTCTTTAACTTGCAGTTGGGCATGTAGGCACTAGAATATATAATATGTTGGGGTACTACCAAAGTACAAGACAATATTGCCACCAGAAAGTAGGCTACACATGGGGGGGAATTCAATAAAGCTGTTGCGCCACTTTTTTGGAGTTGCCGTATTTTTCGCTCCATAAGACACACTTTTTCCCCAAAAAAATATGGGGGAAAATGTCTGTGCGTCTTATGGAGCAAATACTGACCAGTCCTTCACCTGTCACCGCCGCCGTGTTAGGGCCAGTGGCTGTCCCATCCCACTGCAGGCTGTCACTGAAGTTCACCCTACCTTATCCCCTCTCTCAGCGGGCTGTCCCAGCAGCTCTTCATAGCAGGCAGTCCCCTCGCCGAACCCAGCCAGCTTGCTCTGCAGTCCGGTCCGCCCTGCAGGTGTGGCCTGTCCTCGGAGCTCCTCCCCACTCCTGGCATGTCTATGTACTGCACTCCCTGATCTGCAGTACAGTCCGGTCTGAAGGTGTGGCCTGTCCTTACAGCTCCTCCCCTTTCCTGGCATGTGTCCATAGTGCGCTCCCTGCTCTGCAGTCCGGTCCGGTCTGCAGGTGTGGCCTGTCCTTACAGCTCCTCCCCGCTCCTGACATGCGTCCATAGTGCGTTCCCTGCTCTGCAGTCCGGCCCTATCTGCTGGTGTGGCTTGTCCTCAGAGCTCAGTGCGCCCCCTGCCTTCTATAGCCTGCCTTCTGTAAGTTAAAAATGACAGATGCTGGGAGCTGTAGTCCTTTGCCTTGATTTATGGTGTCAGATCAATTGATATTCTGGGTGGAGGGGCCCTGTTGGGAGTTTATATGATGTAGTATGTCTGGTCATCTCCTGTACTGTTTGCAGTCTCTGCTCATCTCCTGTACTGTGTCCACAGTCTCTGGTCATCTCCTGTACTGTGTCCGCAGTCTCTAGTCATCTCCTGTACTGTGTCCACAGTCTCTGGTCCTCTCCTGTACTGTGTCCACAGTCTCTGGTCCTCTCCTGTACTGTGTCCACAGTCTCTGGTCATCCCCTGTACTGTGTCCGCAGTCTCTGGTCATCCCTTGTACTGTGTCCGCAGTCTCTGATCATCCTCTGTACTATGTCCACAGTCTCTGGTCATCTCCTGTACTGTGTCCGCAGTCTCTGGTCCTCTCCTGTACTGTGTCCGCAGTCTCTGGTCATCTCCTGTACTGTGTCCGCAGTCTCTGGTCATTTCCTGTACTGTGTCCGCAGTCTCTGGTCATCTCCTGTACTGTTTCGCAGTGTCAGGAGCCGCCACGATCTGCGGCTCGGCGCATGCGCACTGTGCCCGCTCACACTAGTATGCGGGCACTAGGTCCTGGCCGGCCACGGCGGAGACGGAACCCACACATGCACACTCGGAGCCGCGGGTGCGCGCCTGGCACCAATGACAGTGCAGGGTACGATATTTAAATTGCCCTGCACTGGCAGGAATCGCCGTTTGGTCTCCCTGTGTTCCTGATCTTGTTGCTGTGTTTCCCTGATTGTTGCTGACCCGGATCATTCCTGACTTGCTGTTCTCTCCTGCTCTGACCCCTGGCTTGCCTGACCTCCCTCCTGGATGCCCCCTATTGGATCTGATCTTCTGTTGCTGACCTGGCGTGTGACCCAACCATTCTCTGCCCGCTGCTTTTTACTGCACTGCTCCCACGGCTACCGACTCGGCTCGTCTGACCATGCTCTTGCTCATCCATCCATCCACCTTGCTCTAGCATACCCGCTTGTTCATATCAGGCTCTCACTCTGCAGGAATATCTGGCGGATCACTCTACCGTGGGTGGGTGTACCCTGGAGCCGCGACCTGGTCTCGGTTCTTTCCAAGTCTATCCCCACCATCAGGGGCTCTAGTGAACAAGCGGACCGGGACTTAGACTCCGCGCTCTGGGGGAACCTGACCTGTGGGCTGCTAGAGGTACCACCGGGGGGTTCCTTACACGCAGTCTCTGGTCATCTCCTGTACTGTGTCCGCAGTCTCTGGTCATCTCATGTAGTATGTCTGCAGTCTCTGGTCATCTCCTGTACTGTCCGCAGTCTCTGGTCATCTCCTGTACTGTATCCACAGTCTCTGGTCATCTCCTGTACTGTGTCCGCAGTCTCTGGTCATCTCCTGTAGTATGTCCGCAGTCTCTGATCATCTCCTGTACTATGTCTGCAGTCTCTGGTCATCTCCTGTACTATGTCTGCAGTCTCTAGTCATCTCCTGTACTATGTCCGCAATCTGTGGTCATCTCCTGTACTACTGTACTATGTCTGCAGTCTCTGGTCATTTCCTGTACTATGTCTGCAGTTCATTGGTTCAGAATATTGTTTTTTCTAGTTTTCCGCCTCTAAAACCTACGTGCGTCTTATGGTCAGGTGCGTCTTATAGAGCAAAAAATACGGTAATCCCTCTATTAATGTATTGTGCCAAATTCATTAAGCGTTTGCCACACTTTTGGTTCTGATAGCAACTCATGCATCAACTTCAGGTAGTTCTAAAATGCGCAACATTTATATTGTGGTGCATTAAATGTGCCAAATTCAAAATAAACTACAGACAATTTGGGGGGATCCTATCACGCTGCAGTGCCACTTCTGGCATTAATCTCTCTTGTTAATGTATTGAGTCAAATTCATGAAGCATTTGCAGCACTTTTGGTTTTGACAGCGACTCATGCACCTAATTCAGATTCAAAATAAAATACTGATTCTTCATATTTTCTGAAATGGAAGTTAATAAAGACCTATTCTGTTTAGCATACAGAGAGAGAAACTGGCGTAGACAGATTTTACGAAAATGTCACACGTGCACTCTTATCGTGATGCAGCATGCACTAATTTCAAGTACAAGTTCTAGACACATATATGAATTTCTAAACTAAACCAACTGCATCTGCGCTTAGTGAAAAAAATCACTCTAGCTACTGTATACAATACAGTGCATGGTCTGATAATTAGTTATTACAATACACAGCACTTATAATACATCAACTACAATCCCCACAATTAAAACTAGTACAAACAAAGTGCAATAGCAATAAAAGTGCTTTATGTGATAATATTTAACCACTTGCCTCCTGGGCACTTTTCACCACCTTCCTGCCCAGACGAATTTTCAGCTTTCAGCGCTTCTTTTGAGACAGAACTTTCTTTTGGTAGTGTTTAACCTCCCTGGTGGTATTCCCGAGTGTAGCTCGGGGTTAACTTTCAGTACCAGAAGCAGTAACCTCGAGTTACACTCGGCATTACCCTGCAACGTTGCTCTGGGTTCCCTCCAACACTTACCTTGTCCTGCGCTCAACACACTAAAATCTCATAGTATAACATTACTGTATCAAACCATTTCACATACATTTTGTCCCTAGTGCTTTGTCCTGTGCCCTGCCTGCATTTGTACTGTTCTTTCTGCCTGGAAACTGAGAACGTCCATGGTGTCTAAAAAGCATCCCTTTAGGTCATAAGTGGTTTTAGACCAGCTAGAGAACAGCGATAGTAAATTAGAACCACTTACATGATAATGATTCATGGGGAAATTCGTCATCAGCACTGAAAACGATTTGCGACTAAGCTCAGTGATTTGTGAACTTGGCGCTCTATTTCAAATTTCAGTGTTTTTGGTTTGATTACATTATTGAATTAAATTTATTAATATATTATTATTTTGTATGATTGTTTATTATATTATAATTTATGATTTCGTGTTTCAAACTTTATCATACCCGGGATGTTTACTAGACTCTTGTTCGGACAGATTTCAGTGCGTTATTCCTAAGAATTACAGGCCTACAATAAAAAACCAACATATTTCCATTGAAAACAATGTACCACTTTGAGCACAGAAATACTGACATAATCATACCACTAGGGAGGTTAATCACCACTGGGTTTTTTTATTTTTTTGCTAAACAAACTAAAAAGACAACATTTTGAAAAAAAAAAGCTTTCTTAGTTTCTGTTATAAAATTTTGTAAATACGTCTTTTTTCTCCTTCACTAATGTGTGCTTATGAGGCTGCACTGATAGCTGGCTCTGATGGGCACTGATAGATGGCACTGATGGGCGGCTCTGATGGGTACTGACAGTCATCATTGTTGGACATTGAAATGCAGCACTGATAGGCACTGATAGGTGACACTGATAGGTGGCACTGACTGGCACTGATAGGCAGCACTGACTGGCACTGATAGATGGCACTAATGAGCACTGATAGGTGGCACTGACTGGCACTGATATGTAGCACTGATTGGTACTGATAGGTGGCTCTGATGGGTACTGATAGACTGCACTGATGAGGCACTGATAGGCGGCACTGATGGGCATTGACAGGAATCACTGATGGGCACTAATATTTGGCACTGATGAGGCACTCATGACTCGTGACGTCATCACGCACGCACGCTAACCGGAAGTGTCGCCGCGGCCATTTTGTCGGTTGGAAACAATCGTTTTTTCAACCAGAGATTGAAATGTGCAGTACAGAGAGCTGGATAAAGTGATTTTTACATGTAAGTGTCGAATAAATTTATATCTTTTTATGAAATCTGCCTGATTGAGCCTTCTCTTTGTCCATATGAGGAATACCCTGGATAAGAATGATGGAGGAATGGCTTTCCTATCTAACAGTATATGCCTGAATATACCATAAGAGGGTAATGGTATTTAGCATCTACTTTGGCTGGAGTATATAGGATATTGGTACCTAGTATCACTATTCACCTGAGATTGGAGTGATCACGAGTTCTCACGTTTATTTTTGATTTATTGATTTTTCACTATTTTTGGTGTGATTTGAGTTTTGCACTGTGTGAAGCATATATATATGTTTGAGGATATTACACTATGATATATTTTTATCTTTATTTTTGAGGATAACAAGGCATTGTTTGGAGAATCGTCTTGCTTCACTGAACACATAAAGAACTTTTTTGTTTTTGTTTTTCTTGGGATTTTGGACATTTATTTATTTATATTACATACTTTTTTGGTGATTTGGACACTTATTATTATTATTACTATTTTTGGTGATTTGGACATTTTTTTATATACATTTTATTTTATATTTATTTATTTAATGTTGATTGGTACATTTGATGATTTTGAATATATATTGGAGGGGTGATTTATTATTATTTTAGTATAGATTTGATCATCACCTTTTGGATTATGTGGGATTATTGAAATTTTGAGATAGATTGGGATTATTGGGAAGTTCATCACAAAAAGTATATTTAATAGTTTATTCACTTCCTAGGGAGGAGGTAGTGTTTTGTGGCTGTATAGGAGCTTTTTGATTGATGAGGCACTGATAGGCGGCACTAATGGGCATTGACAGGCATCACTGATGGGCACTGATATGTGGCACTGATGGACACTGATAGGCAGCACTGACTGGCACTGATTGGTGGCAGTGATTTGCACTGATAGGCGGCAGTGATGGGAACTGAAAGGTGGCACTGATTGGCACTGATATGTGGCACAGATGGGTACTGATAGACTGCACTGATGAGGAGGCACTGATAGGCATTGACAGCATCACTATTGGGCTCTGAAAAGCAGCACTGATGGGCATTGATATGAAGTATTGATTATTATTATTATTATACAGTATTTATATAGCGCCAACAGTTTGCTCAGTGCTGTACATTACAATAGGAGACAGTACACGAGACAGTACAGTAACAATACAATTCAATACATGAGGAGTTCGAGGGCCCTGCTCCTTGGAGCTAACAATCTAGGAGGGAGGGGATAGTGGTACAGGAGGAAATAGCTGTGGGGGATGGAGTGGTAGGAAGAGTGGAGGAGATCGGCAATTAGCTGAGGGCGGGGTAGGCTTCTCTGAAGAGATGGGTTTTCAGGGTACGCCTAAAGAAGAGGAGAGTAGGTGATGGTCTGATGGGTTGGGGTAGGGAGTTCCAGAGGATAGGGGAAGCCTTGGAGAAGTCCTGGAGACGGGCATGGGAGGAGGAGACCAGGGAACTAAAGACTAGGAGGTCTTGTGAGGAGCGGAGGGTACGTTTTGGGTGGTATTTGGATATCAGGTCGGTGATTTAGTTTGGGGCAGTGTTATGAACAGCTTTGTACGTCAATGTTAGCATTTTGAATTTTATCCGTTGGGCAATCGGAAGCGAGTGGAGGGATTGGCAGAGGGGGGTGGCGGAAACGGAGTGGTTAGTAAGGTGGATGAGTCTGGCTGCAGTATTCAGGATAGACTGTAGTGGGCATAGCCTGTGGTGAGGTAAGCCGCTGAGGAGGGAGTTACAGTAATCAAGTCGTGATATGATAAGGGAGTGAATGAGTTGCTTAGTAGTTTCCAGGGTTAGGAACGGACGTATTTTGGAGATGTTGCGGAGGTGGAGTCTACATGAGTTTGTCAGCGATTGGACCTGGGGCTGGAAAGACAGATTGGAGTCTAGGATGACACCTAGTACTCGGGGTTGAGGGGTGGGACTGATGGTGGCATTGTTGCTCGTGATGGAGAAGTCAGGAGAGGGGGGGGCGCGGGCTAGGGGAAAAACTAGGAGCTCAGTTTTGGAGAGGTTTAATTTGAGGAAGTGGAGTGACATCCAATCCGATATGTCGTTCAGTAGGCTAGTGATTCGGGCAGAGACTGAAGGGGTGAGGCGAGGGGTAGAGAGATAGATTTGCGTGTCATCGGCATAGAGATGGTAGTTGAAGCCGTGAGTGTGTATCAGTAGGCCAAGGGAGGAGGTGTAGATGGAGAAGAGAAGAGGCCTGAGGATAGAACCTTGAGGGACCCCAACAGAGAGGGGGAGTGAGGGGGAGGTGGCAGTGTTATAGGTAACACTGAAGGAGCGCTGTGATAGATAGAAAGAGAGCCAGGAGAGAGCGGAGTCTCTGAGGCCAAGAGAGTGTAGTTTTTTGAGGAGGGGGCGGTCTACCATGTCGAAAGCCACGGAGAGGTCAAGGAGTAGGAGCACTGAGTAGTGGCCATTAGCTTTGGCAGTTAGCAGGTCGTTGGTGAGTTTGAGTTGGGCAGTTTCGGTGGAGTGTAGGGGACAGAAGCCAGACTATAGGGGATCAAGGAGGTTCTTGTCGGTGAGGTGGGAACTCAGCCGATTACACTGTTCAACAGGTAA